CAGCAACTACAGACAAGTGTCACTCCTGTCAAAACACTGGTAAGATCCTTGAGACAATAATCTCAACAAATGACAGAGTTTTTTGAACTACCACTAATACCACTCACTACTTTTCTTGGTGATCAGTCAATATGGCTTCAGGAAAGGTTACTCTGCTGCTGATCTGTTTGTTACAACTCTCCACTAAGGTGGCACCAGTCACTGGATGACCAAGTCAGCTGTGTGGGTAGCACTGGACATTGCTGGCGCTTTCCGACCGGGTGGTGGCAACCAAGGGTCCCTCTACAAAACTTGTTTCAAGCCACTGGGAATTGCAGGCTCTACGTTATTGTCCCTCATGATACCTTCATGGTATATTCTCTAAGGTGTAGTCTCAATGGAACGAAATCAGCAAGAACATCCTATTGGGGCAAGTGTTCCACAAGGAAGCGTGCTGGGTCCATTGTATATGGAATGTCTACTTCAACAACCTTCTTCATCTCATCCCAGAATCACATGCATATGCAGAGCGACTGTATACAATGAACCATTCCACTTAATCCAAGAGAAGAAATGCCCAGCTGCCTAAGCTACATCAAATCATTCTAGCTGAGAGCTATATCAGCTTGGGAACTAGATGGCAAGTAACATTTGCAACCTGAGAAAATCAAATGATGAATCGTCTCGTAAGGCACCATGAATGGTAATGCTGTGCAGTAGTAAGGATGAATGGGAGGGTGTTGGCACTGGAGAAGAATTTGATAGCCCTTGGGGTGAAATTTGACTCTAAAACTAACCCATGAAGAACCATCTGTATATCTTGCGAACAAGGCAGCCAGAAGCCTTACTAGCACTTCCGCGATCTCTCGCATCTCCTTGACAGTAGGGGTTGCAAGATCCTGTACGAGGCACAAGTACGCTCACATAAATCTCCCTTGAGTATGCTCCACTTTCTTGGTTTTGGCCACCTGGCCCCCCTCTCATCTGCGACTGCTTTGAAACAAGTGAGAAACAAGCAAGAAGTCTCATCTCTCGCCTGACCCTCATCCTGGATAGATCTGTCATATCACAGAGCCTCCTTCAACATAGGAGGGACGTAGGTGGCCTTACTGTTATGTACAAGGCCAATATTGTCAAAATACCACACTTGGATCCACTTCGAGGACGCGGAAACAAGCTTTTATGCCACAAGACGGGCAAAAGCAGCAACTTCACGCTGCTGTTACCCTTCTCCAGAAGCATCACTCCATCTGAGGATCATACATACCCAGGATGACTCGAGTACGAACACATTCGTACAGCATAATGATGTCAACGAGATAAAAGTCCAGTTGATCAAATGAAAATAGCTGGCCCACAGATGGCTGGGCTCCAACTTCATCCTGTTTCCCTACTTGTATGTCTTCATAACAATAAAAATGCTTACAAAATGAGCTGATGTAGGTACAGCTCTTAGCTTGCTAATAAAGTTAGAAATCCTTAACCTGTAAATAGCTTGTCAATAAACTAGGGATCCTTAAACCTGTCAACCCCGTGTAAAAAAAAAAAAAAAAAAAAAAAAAAATATATATAATAAAATCCACCAACCATCCGACTTACGACCGAGTTCAGTTCCGAAAACCAGTCCTAAGTCAAATTGGTCGTAATCGAACCTTCTGCTGAATAATCAACAAAACATTTAGTGTAATGACTTTATTTATTGTTTTCTTTTGGTATTTCATGTCTTACTTTACTTTTTTGTTGTTAGTACAGTATTTTAATACTGTAAGGTTTAGGAGATAAACACAGTGTGCAACACAAATAGTTGTTTTAATTTCCCAGAAATTTGGCATAAGAAAGCACGGTCAGTAAGTCAATGGTGTGTGTGGTGTGTGTGTGTGTGTGTGTGTGTGTGTGTGTGTGTGTGTGTGTGTGTGTGGTGTGTGTGTGTGTGTGTGGTGTGTGTGAGTGTGTGTTGTGTGTGTGTGTTGTGTGTGGTGTGTGTGTGTTGAGTGTTAGAGTGTGTTTGAGAGATAAGTGTGTTGTGAGAGTGTATGCATGCTGGGAACAAGGGGCTATAAACCCCATCTCCTGTATTATTTTTTTATATGTTATTTGTCCACCAAGTCGCCGTCGTCCCACCGAGGCAGGGAGACCCAAAAAAGAAAGAAATCCCCAAACTGAAAATACTTTCCATCATCATTCAACACTTTCACCACACACTCCACCATTATCACAGCTTATGCAGAGGTGCTCAAATACAACAGGCTTAGAAGCATATACTTATAAAGATACACAAACATATCCCTCCAAACTGCCAATCTCCTGTAGTATTCCTAAATGTACAAAGGAGAAACTTTTGTTTATCCTTTGGGCCGACCCCACCTCGGTGGGAATAACGGTCGTGTGTTGCAAGAAAGATATATAATGTGTGAGTGTGGTGAGAAGTGCTGTTGAAAGATGATGAAAGTATCCTCTTTTTGGGGATTTCTTTCTTTTTTTGGGGTCCACCCTGCCTCGGTGGGAGAACGGCTGACTTGATTGAAAAAAAAAAAAAATATTATATAATATTGATAATGGCAGTTTTGGAAGGGATATGTGTGTATCTTTATACGTATATGCTCTAAGGCTGTTGTATTCTGAGCACCTCTGCAAAAGCAGTGATAATGTGTGAGTGTGGTGATAGTGGGGGGGGGGGGGGGGGGGGGGGGGGGGGGGGGGGGGGGTTGAATGAGATGAAAGTATTTTCTTTTTGGGGATTTTCTTTCTTTTTTGGGTCACCCTGCCTCGGTGGGAGACGGCCGACTTGTTGAAAAAAAAAAAAAAAAAAAATATATATATCTCCTAGGTAGTAGGTTGGTAGACAGCACTGCGCATGGAGGTACTACCGTTCCTGCCAAGTGAGTGTAAAAACAGAAGCCTGTAATTGTTTTACATGATGGGTAGATTGCCTGGTGTCTTTTTTCTGTCTCATAAACATGCAAGATTTCAGGTACATCTTGCTACTTCTACTTGCACTTAGGGTACACTACACATACATGTACAAGCATATATATACATACCCCTCTGAGTTTTTCTTCTATTTTCTTTTCTAGTTTTTGTTTTGTTTATTTCCCTCTTATCTCTCCATGGGAAGTTAGAACAGAAATTCTTCCTCCTTAAGCCAAGCTGTGTAAGAGGCGACAAAATAACCGGGCAAGGGCTAGTAAACCCCTTCTTCCCTAATAAATAACTAAATTTAAAAAGAGAAACTTTTGTTTTTCTTTTTGGGCCACCCTGCCTCGGTGGGATACGGCCGGTTTGTTGAAAGAAGAAGAATATATATATATATATCCTAGGTAGTAGGTTGGTAGACAGCAACTGCCCAGGGAGGTACTACCGTCCTGCCAAGTGAGTGTAAAACAGAAGCCTGTAATTGTTTTACATGATGGTAGGATTGCTGGTGTCTTTTGTCTGTCTCATAAACATGCAAGATTTCAGGTATGTCTTGCTACTTCTACTTGCATTTAGGTCACACTACACATACATGTACAAGCATATATATACACACCCCTCTGGGTATTCTTGTATTTTCTTTCTAGTTCTTCTTGTTTATTTCCTCTTATCTCCATGGGGAAGTGGAGCAGAATTCTTCCTCCGTAAGCCATGCGTGTTGTAAGAGGCGATTAAAATGCCGGGAGCAAGGGCTAGTAACCCCTTCTCCCGTATAAATTACTAAATTTAAAAGAGAAACTTTTGTTTTTCTTTTTGGGCCACCCTGCCTTGGTGGGATACGGCCGGTGTGTTGAAAGAAAGAAGATATATATATGGGATTTAGGGAAATCGGTTATTTTCGTATAGTCGGACTTGAGTCCTGGAAATGAGAAGTACAATGCCTGCACTTTAAAGGAGGGGTTTGGGATATTGGCAGTTTGGAGGGATATGTTGTGTATCTTTATATGTATATGCTTCTAAACTGTTGTATTCTGAGCACCTCTGCAAAAGCAGTGATAATGTGTGAGTGTGGTGAAAGTGTTGAATGATGATGAATGTATTTTCTTTTTGCGGATTTTCTTTCTTTTTTGGGTCACCCTGCCTCGGTGGGAGACAGCCGACTTGTTGAAAAAAAAAAAAATATATTATATATATGATGATGATTCCCAGAACCATCAAAGATAACAGATAATATTTTAAAAATTTGGAGCCCAGAATATGCATACTAAACTTTAAACTCACTTCTAAGTCCCGATGTTTTTTCCTGCGCAAAAAATGGGCATCAATCTCGAAGAAAAGTTCGTGTGTGGGAATTGACGATGCAACGCCCAATACCAGCCCCTCACTGTCACGATGACTGGGATGGTTCCAGTACCTCTTCAAGCGACGAATAAGTTCATTCAGGACAACCCATATAGCTGGTAGACTGCATATGAAAGAATATTAATATTTTATGTAGCATTTATCAATTGTAACACAATATTTATGATCAGACTACAATGATACTTCAACATCTTTCTTGGTGGTTCTTCCCAATACAGGTGCTTCTCAACTTACATTCCAGTCACTCCATCGTAAGTCAAAAATATCATGAGTTGCATATGAATATATGTTAAATAAATAACTACTGGCAAGGGGCTAGTAACCCCTTCTCCTGTATATATTACTAAATGTAAAAGGAGAAACTTTAATTTTTTCTTTTGGGTCACCCCGCCTCGGTGGGATACGGCCAGTACGTTGAAAGAAAGAAAGAAAAAAAACTAAACTACTGTTACTGAATAAGTAAATAAACAAATAATTACTGTAACTAAATACCAGTATTGAAAAGTAAATGGATACAAATTATGAAATTGCCGCTTTCAAAGTAATTGCTTTTGCACCATCGTAAAGTCGAAATATCCTAAGTCAAACCATCGTAAGTTGAGGAGCACATGTACTTGTGTCTGTCTCACCTTATGTAAAAATGCAATGCACATAAAAGGCCCCAAGATCAAGAATTCATTGCCCAAACAAGCAAAAGGTACCTTGTCTCTGCCAATCAATTTAGAGCTATAATTAAAAATCACCTCATCTCCCAAACGTAGCTACACCAACACTTTGCTATACCAAATAAAACCAACTCATCCAACTACTTCTGTTTCTTCAACCATCTCGTATAATGCTCCCACAGCCTGAAATCATAAAATCAGTTTGAAACTACTTAAGAAATCCCAATTAACTTAAGATCACTAAATCAGTTTGACATATTAATATGCACCTAAAATTGTACTATTGTAAATTGTAATAACTAATATTTTTTTGCTACCTCTCTACTACAGATTTTTCTAATTATAATACTTTTTGTACCTATTTTTTGTAATAATGTTTAATTAAAATTCACCGCTCCATAACTTATGTCTAGTTTTAAGTAGTGTGAAAGCATTATGATTGGTCTGCCCGAAATGCTCATGCATGCTAGTGGCTTTCTTTGTGTGTAGCAATATTTTACTATATGTAAACTACAGTTTCTATACTACACAAAGAAATAAAAATTTAGATTTTTTCATTTTGATTTTGATACATCAAAAAACAACCTCTCATCTATATCTATGACACCCACTGTTCACCCATCCTGGTGTCCCGTGGCCTAGTAGGCAATGCTCTGGCTTCACACATAGTGTCCGTGGTTCGGTCCCTGGCACGGGTGGAAACATTGAGCATGTTTCCTTACACCTGTTGTCCCTGTTCACCTAGCAGTAAGTAGGTACCTGGGTGTTAGTTAACTGTTGCAAGTCACATCCTGGGGGAAAAGACTAAAGGACCACAATGGAAGACAGACTGTGCTCAATGACATACTGCCTTTCTTGAGTTATCCTGGGTGGGTAACCCTCCAGGGTTAAAAATCAGAACAAAATTCTATCTTATCCTTTTTTGACCTTTATTTTCTTCATATTACCTTGATCTCTACCTCATTATTCAGTTCACCATTCAATCATTTTCTCTCTTTTTTTTTTTGTAACACACAGGCCGTCTCCCACCTTAAAAGAAAAACGAAAGTTAGAAATATTCACTAACACAATTCTTAGCGATAATCACCAACACACACACACACACCAACCTGTCTGACTGCAGACGATATCTGTTAGTGGTGCGGGAAGAGAGGATAGTTATGTCAGCTCCACTATAATATTGAAAGCCCAGTGCTGTTCCTACGCTGGAGTCTGATGTCAAATCTGATACAAAAAAAAAAAAAATGAAAACAATAATTTTTCGGATACGGAATTCTAGCATGGTAAAGATATTTATCATTGCAGTACTGTATTATTATAATCTCGGGGAAGTGCTCAACCTGTGAGGGTCACACAGTGCATGGGGAATGGAATGAAATCAGGTTTAATCCAGGGAAGCCAAGGTTATCTTCAATTCCCTGGATCAACAATCAAGCATCAGCACCATGATACCTTGAAAGTAAAAAAAATATTAAATTTTTTTAACACGTCGGTCATTTCCCACCAAGGCCGTGTGGCCTGAAAAAGAAGAAACACTTTCATCATTACTCACTCCATCACAAATGAGAGTAGAATTAGTTTTTAGTGAAGGGAAGTTCATTGTTATTACCATAAAAGACAACTCATATCATGAGGGCACAAGAGCTAGAGCTCATCCCATCACTTTGTAAACTCCAATAAATCATTATAGGAATTATTATTATTATTTTTATAGTTATGCAAAACCACTTAACTTTATGGGTCACACAGTGCCTGGGAAGTTTAATCAGGTCTGATCCAAGGAAGGGGAGAACAGTTAATTCCCTGGATCAAGCACCTGTTAACAACATGATGGGGACCCCTCACTGAAGGATACAGAATGACGAATGCTAGAATACAAGCATTTTTGAATTGTGCACCAAAGCATACAAAATACATATATGATCTACTTCGCTCAGTTATATCCTCCTTACTTTTTCAGTTACTTTCCACATATAAAACATGTTTAACTAAATGCTAAATAAATCTAAACTATCCACTATCCATGATAGTATGAGCAGCAGCAGCAGTTGTGATGGGTGCACAACATTAATCTAAACTATCCACTATCCATGATAGTATGAGCAGCAGCAGCAGTTGTGATGGGTGCACAACATTAATCTAAACTATCCACTATCCATGATAGTATGAGCAGCAGCAGCAGCAGCTGTGATGGGTGCACAACATTTTGACCATGGAGGTCACTCAGCACTCATTACAATAAAAAATATGTAACACATACAATACAAACAAAGATAAATTTACCAACAAATGCTATGAACATAAGTACTCAACAAGCACAAATATAATCAAACCAGGTTAAAATAACCAGCATCATTTTAAAAAACTTTAAATTATTTATGTCAAAAGACTAAAAGTTGCCCGAGGTCCCCATGATGCTGCAAGGTGTGACAACACATGCGATGTCTTGCTACAATGTCAACATACCAGGAAATAACTCTGGTAGGTTGACAGCATCCTTGTTAGTAGAGATGGTGATCTTATGGTCCCCCTCCTTGGTTGGCATGCTAGGCTTTACCACAAGTTGCAATGGAAGCTCCAGCTATGGGATAACTGGCATCAATTATTGTGTCTAATACTGAAGAAGAAATAATGTATTTTCTGACATTTTGTGATGATAAAAATACAACATTTAGAGATGTTATATATTTAAAATATGGGGTTAAACAGCAGGTTTGTATTAGAGAAGCCCCATGTACACAGCTTCTTACACAGATAAAAGATAAAAGACTAATTATTATAGCAATTTTGTATAAAATTACAATACATTACATAGTTAAGATACTGAATATACATCATGCATATGCAAACTAAGCACTGTGAAAAAAAAATAGTAAATATCCACAAAAGTGCTTGGAAATTCACTATTTTTTTTACAGTGGCTATTTTTAATAATATTAATATCTTTATTTACTACAGTACAAGAACATGTACAAGGTATACAGGCCTAGCTGACATCAATGACATACTACTATATAGAAAGCTGCTTGTTATGCCGAGCATTTTGGGCAAATTATGTCAGTTTTGTCCCAGGATGCAACTCACACCAGTCGACTAACACCCATGTACCCATTTTACTGATTGGGAACCTAGACAACTAGTGTGAGGAAACACGTCCAGTGTTTCTACCCCTTCACTAGGAATCGAACCTGGACCCTCGCTGTGTGAAGCAAGAGCTTTAGCAATCTTACTGCATCATTGTATATCATGTACAGTAATACCTATCTATATTCCTAATGCCTCCTCTTCACATGGAACATTCTTCTAAGTGTGACCATGACAGCAAACTTTCTATGCAGCTATATACAGTGGACCCCCGCTTAATGATCACCTCCCAATGCGACCAATTATGTAAGTGTATTTATGTAAGTGCGTTTGTACGTGTATGTTTGGGGGTCTGAAATGGACTAATCTACTTCACAATATTCCTTATGGGAACAAATTCGGTCAGTACTGGCACCTGAACATACTTCTGGAATGAAAAAATATCTTTAACAGGGGGTCCACTGTATAAGCAAACCTTTCTGATCTCTCACATTCCCCTTACACTCCTTCACTCTTTTCTTCCAAGTAATTAACCATCTACTCATCAATACCTCCTCAAAACTCCTTAATATGAATCCTCACTGCAGTCACAAGTTATTTTCTCCACGTATCCAAATAAATGTAATGTAAAAATATACCACAGTGAAAAATGGAAAAAAAAAAAAAACCCGAGCGCTTTTATATCATGAAGATGTGTATGTAAGAGCATGAAAGCGCTCAGGTTTTTCCCAGTTTTTCACTGACATTTTTATATGTAGTATACACAATCATGCATTTTACAGTGATATCTTCCATTATTGTAATGTATCTTATATTAGTGATGTTCTAGATTTAAGAAGTATGAAAGCATTATGATTAGACTGACTGAAATACATTACATACATAGTGGCTTTCTTTTGTGCTTATTATTGAACCAAATTTTGTATCAAATTATGCATATCTACTGTAATTTTTGTATTGCTCATGAAAAATAAAAAAATAATTTTAATTTTATCCTGAATGAATGTAAGATTTTATTCCTGTGGGAGGTAAATGACCACAATGCTTATTAATAGTTTTTTTTTTATTAGCACACTGGCCGATTCCCACCAAGGCAGGGTGGCCCGAAAAAGAAAAACTTTCACCATCATTCACTCCATCACTGTCTTGCCAGAAGGGTGCTTTACACTACAGTTTTTAAACTGCAACATTAACACCCCTCCTTCAGAGTGCAGGCACTGTACTTCCCATCTCCAGGACTCAAGTCCGGTCTACCGGTTTCCCTGAACCCCTTCATAAATGTTACTTTGTTCACACTCCAACAGCACGTCAAGTATTAAAAACCATTTGTCTCCATTCATTTTCCTATCAAACACGCTCATGCATGCCGCTGGAAGTCCAAGCCCCTCGCACACAAAACCTCCTTTACCCTCTCCCTCCAAGTTTTCTAGGCCGCCCCCTTTACCCCCCCCTTCCTTCCACTACAGGACTGATACACTCTTGAAGTCATTCTGTTTTGCTCCATTCTCTCTACATGTCCAAACCCCCTCAACAACCCTTCCTCAGCCCTCTGGACAAGTTTTGGCAATCCCGCACCTCCTCCTAATTTCCCAAACTACGAATTCTCTGCATTATATTCACACCACAAAATTGCCTCAGACATGACATCTCCACTGCCTCCAGCCTTCTCCTCGCTGCAACTTTCCCATCACCCATGCTTCACAACCCATATAAGAGCGTTGGTAAAACTATACTCTCATACATTCCCCTCTTTGCCTCCAAGGACAAAGTTCTTTGTCTCCACAGACTTCTTAGTGAAACCGCTCACCCTTTTCCCCTCATCAATTCTATGATTCACTCACACGTCCACTCCCAAATATCTGAATACATTCACCTCCTCCATACTCTCTCCCTCCAGTCTGATATGCAATCTTTCATAAACCTAATCTTTTTGTTATCCTCATAACCTTACTCTTTCCTGTATTCACTTTTAATTTTCTTTTTTACATACCCTACCAAATTCATCCCCCCAACCTCTGCAACTTCTCTTCAGAATCTCCCAGAGCACAGTGTCATCAGCAAAGAGCAACTGTGACAACTCCCACTTTATGTGTGATTCTTTATCTTTTAACTCCACGCCTCTTTGCCAAGACCCTCGCATTTACTTCTTTTTACAACCCCATCTATAAATATATTAAAAAACCCACGGTGACATCACACATCCTTGTCTAAGGCCTACTTTTACGGGGAAATAATCTCCCTCTTTCCTACATACTTTAAACTTGAGCCTCACTATCCTCGTAAAAAACTCTTCACTGCTTTCAGTAACCTACCTCCTATACCATACACCTGCAACATCTGCCACATTGCCCCCCTATCCTCCCTGTCATACACCTTTTCCAAATCCATAAATGCCACAAAAACCTCTTTAGCCTTATCTAAATACTGTTAACTTATATGTTTCACTGTATTAATAATACAGAAATAATCATACTGTGGGAGCTTTAGGTAATAGACATCTGAAGCCAAGGTAAAGTGTTTGCAATAAACCTACTAGCAGGATACTTGTCACATGTCAAAAAGTATAAAGAGGAGCTCTGAGGTTACACTATATTCCTATCTGTAGTTAGCAAAGCTTCATTTGGATTTGCAGCACAGTTCTAGTCTTCATATTGCAGAATGGAAATAAATGTATTGGAAAATATGTAAACACGAATGAATGTGATGTAAATGGTTTTGAAAACTCACAAGTTGAAGAATGAGACATATGCAACATTTGGGTATCTTTATTGAGGAAAAAAATTTGGCCAGCCAGATATAACAGTTTAAAGGTGAGGAGAGTTTGAGGTAATCAGTTCCTCAGCATTGAGTTGACTTCAGGCTGAGGGACTGATTACCTCACACTCATATTTTTTTTAACCCTTTCAGGGTCCGTCCCGTAGATCTACGGCCTTATGTTCAGGGTCCAAACCGTAGATCTACGCCATGAGCTCAGCTCACTCTGATAAACTGTGGGGTGGTCATTTGGGCCTAGATATGAGAGAATATCATTATGTGGTATGTGTGCACCACATAAAAAAAGATCCTGCAGCACACTGTTATAATGAGGAAAAAAAAAAATTAAATCATGATTTTTCGATTAAAAAAGCAACTTTGCAGTGTTTTTTTTTGTATGTTTTTTATAGTTGTATTTGCGATTCTTGGTCTCATTTGATAGAATGGAAGACATATTACAGAAATAGAGATGATTTTTTATTGGTTTTAGCATTGGAAATGGCTTGAAACTGAGCTCAAAATAGCGGAAATGTTAATTTTTTTGCCGATATTCAAGAGTAAACAAAACGACCTCACACGTCTAATACACGTCAGCTGTTGGGTCTAATATACATTTCACAAATATGGTGGGTGATATTTATACAATTATTACAGTATTGCATAACAGTAAATCTTCTATTTTTTGGGGGGTGAATAAAAATTAATTATGTGAATAAAAAATCAAAATGGAATTTATTTGTAAAGCCTCAAACATAACTAATGAACAGGGGAAATGTTTGTTTGGGCCCAGGAATGCCTACTTTGTTCTTTCGGGAAACCCTTTTTTTGAAATTGGAATATTTTGAATTTGTGTTAATTGGGCCAAAATTAAAAATTTTCCCGATCACTTTATTTTGTGTTGAAACAGTTTTTTGGCGATTTTTTGGGGCCAAATCGATGAATAGAAGTAATACAGTGAAATAGCAAAAATTTTGGTTGATTGGAATAATGTAATTTGGGCCCCTAAAAGGGGAGTCAAAGTCGGCAAAACCCCGATTCTAAATATCGCGACAATAAAAATTCGCGGAGCAAAATTTGAAAAATTTTCCCCAAAAAATTTTTCGTTTTTTTTGTTTTTTTCCCCTTCACAAAAAAGATTTCTTACGATTTATAAAAAAAAATAACAAATTTTTTTTTTGAAAATTTGGCACTGGTGCGTGACTCCAGTTTTGGGGCCCCTTGGCCCTAAAAGGGTTAAGTGTTTTTCTCGTATTGGTCTGAAAAAGCCACTGGCAGCAAAAATGTTTCCTAAAAAAAGGTTCCCAAATATTGCATAAGGTTTCATTCTTCAAACAAGAAGATTTTTAAATCGGGCCCCTTTGTTTTACAAGTTTTTTTACAAAGACAATTCCAACAGAACTTGCATTTAAAAACAAAGTTGTATGTCCATAATTACAAACATTTTAAAAAAAGATGAATTAAATTTATCTGAAGAAAGTCTTTTTCATTTAAAGAAATGAGATATTTGAAATTTTAAAAATACACTTACATTCACTGTGAAATTTGTGGATCCCCTTTGGGGTTACAAAAAGAGGTGTGAGGCTCACAGGGGGGTAGGTTATAAGGCCCTAAAAGTAGAATTCACCATGTTTTGGCTTTGAGTCCCCTGTTGCAAAAAATTTTGGGAAAAAAAAAAGGTGCAATTATCACTAAACTTAATGAAAATTTTTCACAGATGAAGCATAAAAATAAAACCCAAAACAT